TCCATCTTTTGGGAAGACGCGGTAAGGATTGCACAGGAGCAGCTCTGGCCGCATAGCTAACGTTCTGCCCTTCCTGGTTCCCCCAGCAAGTGTCTGACTTGGAGACAGAGCTCCTCAAGCGCGACCAGGCCATCGTGGAGCTGCACAGCAAAGTCAGCGAGCTGCAGGCTCAGGCTGACCTGTATGAGGACCACCTGAGGCGGTGGAAAGAGCTCCACAACGATCTCCAGAGCCGGAACGAGACAATCCAGCAAGCAGAGCAACAGACTCGCGTGGTCCTGGAGTCCTCTCAGGCCAGGGTAATGCCCACCGTTGCCCCCCACCGAGGATTCAGATTCATGTTCATGACCACCTATATCCTTACCCACTACCCGCCCACACAGACCATATGCCCAGCAGACAAGGGCTCTGGCTCATTCTGCCTCACATTGCAATGTGCAGTGTAGAACTGATGTTTGTGAAGTAGTAGAGGAGGGAGTGAAGGCTCATGGAACATTCTGGAAGCAGAGGACAGGAGCTAGTATTGTTCATCGAGAAAGTGGATCTTGGGTTACCTAGAAAAAGAGGCAGGAGGGAGGGTGATGATGTCCGTGTCTGCCCCTCCTTTCATCCCCCCCGCCCCTCCCCAGTGTGTCTCCCTTCCTGCTTCAAGTCCTCTTTATCTTTTCTAAGCTGATTTTTTTTTTATAACCCATTGAGTCCACTTTGTGCTGCCCATATGTGAACAGCTGTGGGGTCACACACTGGGGGGCACGAACAACCAGTCAGTGATCACAAAGACTCCTTCCCATACCAGACATTAACTGCCAATAGTTCCTCAGCTGGGGTGGGACCTTAGGAGCCCACTCGTGCTCCACTCTGGAATAAACAAACAAATATGTGTATGTGGTATGTGGGTGCCAGCACATGTGAGTACAGGTGCCTGCGAGGCTAGAAGCTTCAGATTCCTGCAGAGCGGAGCGATAGGGAGTTGAAAACACCCCCATGTGGGTGCTAAGAGCCTGTAACCTGTGGTGGTTTGAATGAGAAGGACTCCCAGAGGCTCAGGTTCCATTGTTTACGTACGAGGTCCCCAGTTGGTAGACCTGCCTGGGAAGGAGTCCGGAGTGCAGCCTTTTTGGAGGATGGGCTTTGGGGTTTCGAAAGACTCTACCCTTCCTAGCGCCTGCTTCTACCTCCTACTTGTGGGTCTTGGGTGTGTGTGCCATAATGCCCTCGCTGCCCCGTCACAGACTTCAACCCTCCAAACGTGCAGCTCAAATCAAACACTTTTATAAGTGGCCTTGGTTATGGTATCTTATCATAGCAATAGAAAAGAAACTAGACAGAATCAAATTCGGCAGGAGCAGAACAGGCAAGGCTCTTAACCACGGAACCATCTTGTCTGTCACGATCTATACTCGAGTTTTTTTTTTTTTTTTTTAGATTCTTTGCCAAATGGATATTTTTTTTCTTTTTTTATTAATTTTTTAATTTATTTATTTATTAAAGATTTCTGTCTCTTCCCCACCACCGCCTCCCATTTCCCTCCCCCTCCCCTAATTAAGTCCCCCCCCCTCAGCCCGAAAAGCAATCAGGGTTCCCTGTCCTGTGGGAAGTCCAAGGAACCCCCACCTCCATCCAGGTCTAGTAAGTTGAGCATCCAAACTGCCTAGGCTCCCACAAAGCCAGTGCGTGCTATACTCGAGTTTTTAACTGGTTTAGTTTTGGCCTCCATGGCAGTTTTTTGGTTGCGGAGGTTGAAGGGGTATATATCATAGATAAGAGAGCTGTCTAAACACTGATAGTCTAGAGAGAAGGGATGTTGTGAATTGTTAAGAGGCTGAGGTGGGGCTGGAGAGATAGCCTAGCCATTAAGAGCTCTGGCTGCTGCTCTTTCAGAGTACATGGGTTGAATTCCCAGCACCCACATGGCAGCTCACAACCACATGCACCTCCGATCCCACAGGGTCTGATGCCCTCTTCTAGCCTCTGTGGGCATTGCATGCATTTGGTGCACAGATGTACAAGCAGGCAAAACTCCCATACACATAAAATAAAATTAAAGCAAAACAAACAAAAGAGAGGCTGAGGTCTTCAGTGGCAACTGGAAACTAAAATTTAAAATAATTGTTTGTGTCATTCTTTTATTTTATTTATTGTTGGTTTGTTTGTTTGTTTTTCGAGACAGGGTTTCTCTGTGTAGCTTTGGAGCCAGTTCTGAAACTCACTCTGTAGACCAAGCTGGCCTTGAATGCACAGAGATCCACCTGCCTCTGCCTCCCAAGTGCTGGGATTAAAGGCGTGTGCCACCACCGTCCAGCTCATTCTTTTATTTTTAAAACATGTATTTTTATGTCTGTGCACGTGTGAGTCTGTGTGTATGCATTCAATCCCCTGGAGCTGGAGGTACAGGCAGCTGAGAGTCCTGGGTCCTGTTGGGTGCTAGGACCCAAACTCAGGTCCTCTGCAAGAGCAGCAAGTTCTCTTAACCGCAGCGCCATTTCTCCAGTCCTGTGCTAATATTTTAAAGTCATATGCAGAGCTGGGGATATATCTCAGCGATAGAGAGCTTCCTAGCACGTGGGAGTCCCTCATTTCAGTTCCCAGGACTCCTGGTGGAGACGTGCGCTTTTCTAACTTAAAAACATAAAAATAAGTGTATTGCCATGCTAAAGTTTCTGTGCTTCAATGTGGGGCCACCTAGGAACTGAGGTCTGATCCAGAACATTCTAGCTCTTAGGCAAGTCCCATTTCCAGCCATGACACGCAAGAGCAAGAAATAACTTCCGGCCTGCAGGGCTTACAGTGGCAGCGCCGGGCGTCATTCTTAGTAACAGTGGGAGATGGTTTCACCTTTCTTCACAGCTGGAGCGACTAAGGAATAAGATCATCCAGGCCGTCTACAGCGTCAGTGGGACCAAGAGCTTGTCCACGGAGCTCTCTGACAACTATATCCTGGAGTCCCTGCAGGTGAGAGGACCCAAGCTATGTCCCCACTGCTCATCACTGAGGCTGAGGGAGGAGGGGACCCAAGCTGTGTTCCCCCTGCCCATCGCTGAGGAGATCTGGACTCAGTTTGTAAACCGGGTTTTCATCCTAGCTGTATCACCATGCATTGTAACTCCAGGACTGTCCCTTTTCCCTGCTCAACCAGAGAGGGCCAGCCTATCCTTGGAGATTGCTCTAGCATGGAGCTGCTCTCAGCCTCATGGAGGATGGCACTCAGTTATCCTGGTGCTCATCCCTGCACAGGGAGAGGGACAAGCTATCTGCATTTTGGAAGTTCTCTGCCCAGCTCAGCTTCCCTTGGTGGAGCTCCCTCCAGAAAAGCTTCTGGGCCAGAGTTCTGGCACAGACTCCTTCCTCTTGGCCTCAGCCTTGCCAACTCCTATGGACCTAGAGTCCCCCAAAGCAGAAGCTTTAGAGGGTCCTAGGGGGTGCAGGCTTTGGTGCCTGTGAACTGGAGTAGTCACCACCTGCCAGCCCTCGGTGCTAATCCTAGCTACTTTGTGTTTTCCTGAATAACAGGGCCTTCCCTTTATAAAGGGGATGAACCCACCTACCCTGAAGGTATAGCCCTGGGGATGGCTGAGGTACCAGGCTGCTCTGGTTGGGGTCGTATGCCACACAGGATCACATCTCCTTAGCAGACGCTCTGTTCCCAAGGTTCCGCTGCATTGCCCAGCGGACCCAACACGTTCACATTTCCCTGCGGCTTTGGGGAAGGAGCCTGGGTCACTCCACTGTCACCTGTGGGGACAGGCCTGTGGTCATATGTCTGCTGGTGGGGAGGAAGAGGGACAGAAGGACAGAGAAGATGCTCAAGGCCCTGCGTCTCTGCTAGGAGTGAGAACAGGGCTAGGGCTGGAAAGGGACTGGTCAAGCCCCGATGGACGAGACGAAACAGCTTCTGGTCTCTGGGAGTCTAAGGTTCCCTTCAGTGCCACACTGACTAAAGGGGTGGGCTTGGTGCGACAAGTGCATATTCCCCCCACCCCGCCTCCTGGGACAGCATCTCTGAAGTCCTACCACTGGCAGGGATACCACACTCCAACTTGCCTGCTGCAGCAGCAAGTCCTAGGTGGGGGGGATGGGGGACCAAGGTGCGGGGCTGGAGGCCACCCACGGACTGTTTCTTGTGCAGAGAATCATCACAGAGAGAAGCGAGTTCTACAGCCAGCTGAAACAAAAAGGGGTCAAGGTGCCCCCGCTGCAGCAGTCAGACATCTCCCTGCCCAGCAAGCTCAAGAAGCTGTCTCCCAAGTAGACCTGGCAGGGACCCCAGGATGTGGCCTGCCAGGCAGAGGCCAGGACCTGTGCGGCTTGCTCTGTGTTAAAGAATTAAACCTTAGAGTTGGCCACAGTCTCATCTTCTCTGCAACCTACAGGACCTCATCCTTTGCACCAGAACCTCACGGGCCAGGTCCCATGGCACAGCCCCATCTGTAGGGGAGAGCCACACCTCCAGGACCCCTCTTCCAGGCTTCACTTTTCTTTGCAGAGGGCCAAAGACCGCTCCCCCCCCCCCCTTTAGATCCAACACTTTTACCTGGGGCATGCTCTTGCTACTGGGGCCCCTTTGGAAGGTGGGAAAAGCATGGGATGCGGTAGGGAGTGAAGGGGCTGAGGACAGCTCTTCTCAATCCACGGCCTCCTGGCGTCTGTGGTCAGGATGGTTTCACATACGACTGTGCCCCGGTACCCTGATGAACATAAAGCAGCTCTTTACACACATATTATGCCATACACTCTCCTGATCCTGCGGCCGCCCGTGCACTGGGCGGCATTAGTGCAGACAGAAGGCCCGGACACCGAGCCTTCTCTGAGCCTGACTCTGAGAGGCTGGGCAAGGACCTGGCGCCCTCTGCAGGTCTCTCCGGTGGCCGGCTCGGTTCCGCAACTCCAGCAGCGAGAGGGGTCTGCCCCTCCCGATCTGGATCAGACTTCCCAGTCCACTGCCCCCTTCTCAGTCGGGCCTCCCTCAACTCGGCCCCGCCCTTCAGACCCGCCCCCAGCCTCGGGCCCCGCCCCCGTCACCCCCAGGGCTGGAGACGCTTCCCGGGCTTGCGCAGCGGCCCTGGCGAGGGGCGCAGGTGAGACGCACTCAGCAGGGATTAGCAGCTTCCCGTTGCAACCCACGGAGGTGGACCCGACAGCTCGCCCCCACCACTCCTATGTCCTCCCTCCGGGGCTAGAGCTTCCCTGGCCCTAGAATTCCTGAGTGGGAAGGGCTAGATAAGGCCTAACAGGCCCGGAACTGGCGGCCCAGCTTCTCTCGGGACCCAGGAACTCCCTTGGGGCCTGTTTCTTCCTTTCCTTTAGCTATCTGCTCCTCTTCCCCCCTTTGTTTTCTGTATTTAAGGCTCGAGGCACCAACCCTACCTACCTCACATCCTGGCTTACCCTGCTTGGGGAAGGTGGGATTCACTGACCAGACCCTGACAGCCTTCCTGGGCACCGGAGGCTTCAGCCCCCACCACGACTCGCCTTTGTAAGTTGGGGTCTCAGAGGTACTCTGTGGGCAAACGGGTCTAACGAGCAGCCGCACGGCATGTTGGATTCCTGTGTGCACACCTCTTCGGGGAGGCTCTGGGTTTGGAGGGGCCTCGTAGGCCCTTCCTACTGTGTCTATGACGATTGTACAGATCAGGGTGCACGAAACCCAGGAGACCCCGGTCCGAGGAACCCATTGCTCTCTGGTGGCCTATCCAGCCACGGATGGTTGGCAGATAACAAGATCCCACTACCTCCGGCTTGGACAAATCGGGGAGACCCCCACACCCCAAATTCCACATGTGGGCAGGTTTTGCTGTAGAGACGGTCCTGTTAGAGCCAGTGTTACATTGACGTCTAGACTGCATGTGTGGTGTAGCAGCTCCGGCCACTGCAGAAGCAGGAAAGAGGTGGCCACTCTTAACTGTGAAAGAGCAAAAGCTTCCTCTCCCCGCATTCCGCTTCACCCCGCACTTTGCCCACAACCAGTGGCATGGCAAAAGAGGGGTTCGGGTATCAAACTCATCTTGGCGTGGCTGCCACTCAGAGCCAACACTCCTGTTGTCCACCTGGAGGAAGGGATTGAGCCTTGTGCAGGTAGCTGGTGTGCTCTGTCTTGAGGCAGGTAACAAACAGGATACTCCAGTCACGCTTGCCACCCCTGGCGGTCAGCCAGAAGCCCTACCTGAAGACACTTGTGGTTAAGATGGCGTCCCTCTTCCACCCAGCCAGCCTGGCATCCTGGGTTTCTGTAGCCGTCTTCGGCAGCCCGCTGGCCTGCTGTGCCTTTGGGTCACTGGCACAGGGTTATCTAGGACACATGCTGCCTTCCCGTGGCCTCAGCGGCTGTGAGGCAGGGTCTTGGAGCTGGGTGTTGCGAGGGGACACTTGGATGCCCAGTACACAGGAGCCCTAACCTTCTCCTGATCTCAGCCTGTACTTCTAGTGTGTGCCCTGTTTCCCTCAGGTAAACAAGAGGCCACGGGAGAGGTCAGAGGGTAAATGAGAGGGTTAGTCAAGTATCCAGTGCAGGCAGGCCTGCAGGGAGGCAGGAGCAACCATGCATGGCAACATTGTCACTGTGACTCCTCCTCCTCCCAACCCACTGTCTGTGCCCCTGGGGTGGCTGGCCCTGAAGGAGTCAGGGATGGTTTGGTGGTAGGAACCTTCCTGCTCTAGGCACTCATGTGGCCCCTACTTCCTGCTAATCTATAATCTACAGGGGCCCCAGAAGCCCTGCTTGATGCCTCTCAGGGGCAGCAGGTGGAGGAGGGGAAGAGGACAGCTGCTGCCCAGCAGCTCCCTGGCTGGCTGGACTGGCGGTACCAGCCACCATCCACTGCTCATCCCTCTCCTTGCCAGCCTCTCTGGAGGGCAGCTCCAGGCCTTATGGGCTGGGCCGGGGAGGAAGACAGTTATCGGGTCCTTGGCAGCTACACTTTCCTGGTCTCTGAGGGCGGCACTGGCTGCCTCTCCTGATAAATGTCCCGCAAGGGAGGAGAGCCCCTGACCCCCCCGTAGAGGCCCCAGCTGGCAAAGCAGAGGCTTACATTCCTGAGGGTCAGGGCTTAGCCAGGGACCGCCCTGCCCTCTGGGTTGGAATTCTTGCTTTGCTTAGCCCTTCCGACCCTGAGCTAGTTTCTAGTTACCTTGGTAAGTACCGCCCCTCCTTCCGGGCTGACCCTTCCGTCACAGCAGCAGGCCTGCCTTCTGGGAGTCTGGTCTGATAACTGTCTTGTCTCCACTCTGACTGCTGTAGCCTCCCCCGTCCCCCACTCCCACAGGCCTACAGCATGCAGCCCCAGGAGAGTGGTGTCCGCTACAGCAGGTGGGACAACAGCAACCGGGATGAAGTCAGCATGACTGCCATATCCAGCACAGAGGAGCCCTCATGCTATAGGAGGTAAAATCTCAACAGGCCGTGACCCCCATTGCACTGACCAGCCTTGTCCAACCATTGGGCTGTCCCTCTGGATGGACAGGTAACTCTCAACTCCAGCAGGGCACTCAGGAGACCCTGATCTTCCTTCCCCATCCAAACCTATCCAGGTCTCCCTGGAGCCCTGGCTTGGGCTCACTGGTGGTTCTCGCTCTAGGCTCTCCCAGAAGTTGTGCTCGGGCAAGCTGGGGATCGCTATGAAGGTGCTGGGTGGAGTGGCCCTCTTTTGGATCATCTTCATCTTGGGCTACATCACTGGCTACTACGTGCACAAGTGCAAATAAATGCTGCCAGCTCCCATCCCTGGGACTCGCTCCCCCCCCCCCCCCCGGGGACTCGCCCTCCCCAGGACTCGCCCCCCCCCCCCGGGACTCGCCCTCCCCAGGACTCGCCCCCCCCCCCCGGACCCACTCCCACTCCTGGGACCCGCTCCCACCCCTGGGAGACTCTCCCATGCACACAGACCCCAGGGCATATGAAAATGCCAGGGCGCACTGTGCAGCTCCAACAGCCCGGCGCAGGCAGCCGCTTACTTGCTGGGGATGAGGCTCAGTCTCAGTAGAGCTGGAGGGGACCTCCCCAGGCTGGTCGCTGCCTGTGGTGTCCACATCCCTTTGACCAATGCTAGGCGCCTCAGTCCAGGGCTTGGCCTGTAACTGAGGCAGGCAGGCCACACTGCGTGTGCTCCTCCCTGTGGCCTTGGGCTGGGCTCCTGGCCCTCTTAGGCCTTCCAGATTCCTGATTGTGCAGGGAGGGCCCTGAATAATGATGCGTCCCCTACCTATTCTTTTTAGGGGACACAGATAGGGCCCCATATAGAAGACTTGTTTCTGTGCTTGGCACAGAGGCCTTTTCAAACACAACATTGTATGCTTTTTATTTGAGACAGGGTTTCTCTGTGTAGCCTTGGCTGTCCTGGAATTCACTTTGTAAACCAGGCTGGTCTTGAACCCAGATCCACTTGCTTCTCTCTTGAGTGCTGGGATTAAAGGCATGGGCCACCTGGCATACAACATTGTATACTTTTGTTTGGTTTTTGATTTTTTGTTTTTCGAGACAGGGTTTCTCTGTAGCTTTTGTAGTTTCTGTCCTGAAACTAGCTCTTGTAGATCAGGCTGGCCTCAAACTCACAGAGATCCGCCTGTCTCTGCCTCCCCGAGTGCTGGGATTAAAGGCATGCGCCACCACCCAGCACAACATTGTATTCTTTAGCAAACTAGGGATGTCTTCAGGGATGGCCCTGAGAGAAAAATGGAGGCTGGTGCTCTGCTCGCTGCCTCTCCACAGGCTCCCCCTCCTTATAGAGCCTGTAGACAAATCACTGCTTACTGAAGGAACAGTGGGTGACGGACTGTGCCAGCAGTGCTGCCCAGCCAGGCATGACCCTCCTCCACAGCTCTTCCAGTTTGGCTTCCAAGAACACAGGAGTCCTAAGGGTCGGGATGTGGTTGGACCTGTCCCTCCTTATTGGACCATGGAGGACAAGGCCTTCAACACTTGAGGGTACTGTGGCCTCCTCTCCAGTGGTCTACACAGAACCTCTCTGGGCCACCTGTCATCCCTGCCATGCTGTGAAAAGGTTCCAGGCTTGCAGGACATTTGCTAGAAAATATTGAGGTGAAGTCTGCACCCTGGGCTGAGAGGGTGGAGGGTATGGGAGAAGGGGAGCGAGACAGTAGGTGGCAGGTGCCAGAAGACTAAACCCACTGCTCTCGGGTTGGAAAGACTCCCCCTTCCCATTTGCCTTTACCACACTGACAAGTTGAGGGGCTTGGCCACGCTGGCCGGGGAGGGCTGGTATGGCTGACCTCATTCTCAGAACTCCTGGTTTGTATTGTCCTGAGCTTCAGTGGCCCTCATGAGGGAATCTGCAGTGGAATTGCTCCAACTGGCCTGGGTTCTAACAGACACCACCTGTCCCTACTCACAGGCCCCAACTGAGGTAAGACAGTGGAATGCCCTCCTGTCCCCACAATAGCAAAACAGGCATTGGGAGGTCCCAGGGAAGGGACCTCAAGGCCTAGTGTGGCCATTGTCAAGAGCAGGGCACCCTAGCCTGGTAGCCCTTGGAGTAGGAGCAGGTGTGTGCTTGAACAAGTCAGACCTGGCTGAGCCAGGTATATGGGGTTGTGGTTGGGGGGGAGGGGTGGGACAGGGAGGATCAAGTGTGTTCCACCTAAGGGGCTCCAGGTAAGAGAAAGGAAGTGCCCAGCTTCTCTTGGTAGTCCTGCACCCCTGGGATGACGGTAGTGGATGGGCATCTAGCCATATCCTATACTCCAACTGAGACAGGTGCTCTCAGCCCTGGCAACTGACCAGCCTAGCGCTCTCTGGCCAGTACTATACAGGGAGTGGGTAGTCTCAAGTAGCCACAGGCCATGGGCCCTGGTGGGCGTCCAGAACCAGGTAGGGATTTGGGCTGTTTTCCCATGTCAATGCCAGGAACAGACCCTGGCACTGTCCTGTTGATGAGAGCGGGCAGAAGGCTGGATGCAGAGAACATGCTGTTTCCAAGGGGTTTTATTAGTTTTATTAGAACAAAGAGGCGTTCTGCTTGTGTCTGTAAAAAGTTCCAAAATTTTTAATCTCATACATGGACTGTTCTGGAAGAAACAGCAGGAACTGGCAGGGGTGGAGGGGTGGACATGGGGCAGCTCCACCCTTCCACACTTTGGTGAATCCACACAGAATAGGTGAGCCCTTGCCATGTGCAGTCACAAGCTTTGTCCAGGACACTGCGCCTGGAGGGACCCGCAGCCCCACTGGCTCTGACAACCACAGGACCTTGCACAGCCTCAAAACTAAAACCACAAACCCAAACCGTTGTTGTTTTACAGAAGACAGGAACTGTCCTTTGAGGTCAAAGACCACCAAAGAAAGGCCGAAGGGAAGACCACCAAAGAAAGGCCGAAGGGCCGGGTCCCTTCTGCAGCCAGATGGTAAGGCATAGGATAGGACCACTAAGTCCCTTGTGCAGCTGGCTGGGTCCTCAGGATCAAGCGCTTTGGCTCCAAGGATGGCAGGTGTGCCCGGTACATACGCCAACACACGCAGAGTGAGACAGGTGGTGGACAAGGACAGACTGACACGGAAGCCTGTAGGGCCATGTGTGTGGCACACCTTCCCGCCACTGGCCATCAGCTCACAAACCAGCCTTCCCATCATGCACAGAAATCTGTCGACCTCTGGGGCTGAGAAGTGGATGGACTGTGCTGGGACGCAAGCTATACAGGTCACAATCACATGATGCTCTCCACGTCTCTGCTATTAGCATGCTGTCGAGAAGGAAGCGCAGTCCCATAGGATGCCTGCCGCCATTTACCCTGAATTCACACCTGCACATCAAACCCTGCTCAGCCTCCCCCCGTTACCCACACGATTCAGGACATTTCCAGCAGTTATGTGAACATCCATGAGAACAGCAGAATCTATTAGTGCTGAAATGATGACAAAACTCATTTTACAACCGTCACCCAGACAAAACACAGACACCTTAAAACACCCAGAGAAAAGGGACGAAGAACAACCAACCACACAGAGACATCTACAGCCAGTGCCCCCACAGGGGCCACAAGTGGAACCAGTTATGCAGCCTGGATGTCAGCGAACCACAGTCACATAGGGAGGGGTGGTGACCAGGTCGGCCTTGGATGGGTAGACCACCTTCAAGCTGCCCTCCAGATCCACCACTCGGACCTGCTCCACCACCAGGGGGCACTGTCCATCCTTCCCAGCTCTCTGATTCAAGCTGGGATCAGAAACCCCACAGCTGGCATCAGCTTCCGTCCCCGAGAGTGCATCTTCCTCTTTATTTTCTGAAGTGCTTTTGCTCAGTTCTGCCATTTTCTGCAAAGAAAAATAACTTTTTAACAGAGAGGAGAAGTGATCTAGGAAGTCAGGCTGCCGTGACCCAGAGAGCAGCAAGCAGCAGCCATGGAGGGTGGGGACACAAAGCTGCCCTCATGGCCACTCACCAGAATGAGGCTGTCCATGATGTCCTTACAGAGCTGCAGGCTAGTGGCACTTGTGACTTCCAAAAACAAGTCGCATGTGGTTTTCTTAATCTGAAGAGTTGGAGTTCAGGAGAAAGTTATTGGTGTGGGGACACCAGCTGCTTAGTGTATTCAGGAGAAAAATCCATGAGCAGAGTTATGTAGGCTGGAGGTGCAGAGCACCTGCCTTGTTTGTATGCATGAAGCTGGGTTAAGTCCCCAGCACTGTATAAACCAGGCAGGAATGGCGGTACACACGGTACACACCTATAATCCTATAGCGTTAGGGACGTGGAGACAGGAGGATTGGAAGTTCATGGTAATTCTTAAGACTATATATCAAGTTAAAGGCCAGCCTGGGCTATGCGAAAACCTGTCTTAAACTAAGAACTTGTAGCAAGGGCCACAGGCTGGGGGACAGCACGATGGTGACTTTGTAGAGGTGGGCGGCACCAGGTGTGAGCAATGCCAAGGAGCAGAGGGCCCCAGTCCTCCACTTTGCATATCTCTCATGAGCGGGCACGAGCAGGTGGCGCAGCCTAGAGGACGAGCCACACACCACACACTGCCTACCTTTGTCTTCTCGCTGTTTGTTATAGGTGGAAAAGAAATCACATCTCCTTCGGCATCCACGAGACAGGGGTAGTTTTCCTTCCCGTCCAGTAAGTGAAGGTACCTGTGTGGGAGGGAATCCAGGTGGCAGGCAGTGTGAGCCCTGCATCCTCATCTGCCCAGAGACCTGGGAGGTGAAGTGACAGAGGCCTTAGGTCTGAAAACCCTGACCACCACTGAGAACCTGATGGCTGCCTGAAGCAGGACCCACCACCACCTAACCCCTAACCCCTCACAGTGGAGTCTGGCCCTTTCAGGAGGTACTGACTCTCTCTTAGAAGTCTGGGGAGAGTCCCTCCCCATCTGCTTATGCTGTCTTCTGGCAGCTGGAGGGCGAGCCGAGACAGAGGGATTTGTGGTGGGCAGTGTGCCGACCTGTCTGCCAGCTGACTGACCTGTGTAGCCCGGAGACACTTTGCCGCTTCTTCTGCTTTCTCTGCTCCTCAGCCTCCAGCTGCAGCTGCCTTACCAGCTCCTTGGCCTTGGCTTCTTTCCGCCCCAAGGGCACAATCTGTAGGAGCAGAAGCTCATAGCTCATTGTGTTACTAAGGCCACCCATAAGCATGAGGGATGCCATACACTCTCTACCTTAATCTCTAGCCAGGGAGTGGGCTGCCAAGTCTCTAAGTCTGAAGCAAGAGACTATATTTCCAGAGACCCCTCTGCAGAGGGGGTGCTCAGACACCTGTATTTCTCTAACATGCGACTGC